CAATAAATTGCACAAAAAATAACAAAAAGATAAAAAAAGATAAGTTAAAACTCCTTTTTTTATGTTTGTACTGCTTTTTTTTATCGAAATAGAAATGTACTCTTTCTCCGATTCAGAATCTGGCAACCCTATTTTCAGTGATAACTAATTGAAATTCTCACTATTTTACCTGCAACGAACTCATTTATTTAACATGGCGATGTCATAGGAAGCAGTCAATTACCTTTTCCTGCATGTATTTTCAACTACTTTAGAAGACAAAAAAAATATATCATTTTAACATGTTGCTTCTGATACAATTCGAACCCGCGCCTTCTGGAAGCTAACAAATAACAGCGAGCACACCGACTCTGCATTTAATTTCTTCTTATTCTTTTTTGGCGCTGTAACCGCCTAAGCGATTTTCGTTGAGTTCAGCAAAGCACGCCAGTCGTTTCTCCTCTGTGCCAACTGACGCCAATTGGAAACGCCAAGTGAAGCCAAGTCCTTCTCCACCTTCTCCTTCCCGTCGCAGTGGCCGCCTACCTCTTCCTCTGCTACCACCAGCGGGTTCCGAGTTGAATACTTTCAGAGCTGGAGCGTCGGTGTCCATTCGACCAACATGGCCAAGCCAGCGGAGCCGCTGTATTTTAATTCGCTGCACTATGTCCATATCGTTGTAAAGCTCATACAGCTCATCGTTCCATCGTCTGCGGTAGTCGCCGTCGCCAACGCGTAAAGGCCCGTAAATCTTCCGCAAAATATTTCTCTCAAACACTCCAAGAGCCACCTCATCGGATGTTGTCATTGTCCATGCTTTCGCGCCATATACCAGCACTGTGGAAATTCAACCTTTGAATGCACATTTATATGTCTGGCTGTAGCTAAGTGCGCAAAGACGATTGCTTGTTGATATCCAGAGAGGGCTAGGGCTCGTATTAAACTGCAGGCAACATGCAAATTAAATATTTTTTTTTGTTGTTTTCTTGATTATTCACTTCGAAGATGCTTTTTCAGAACGAACACGGTCATTTTAATACGCGTGTAATTGAATTGAATATTTACCAATATACAATACTTTCATTGACGTTTATTGTAAGATCAATTACGTTTCTATTTGATTTTAATCTTTTTTCCCTCAGTGTAATTATAATATATTTTAAAGAACGTAAACACGTCACGTGAAATTGAACAAATTTTATATTTACAGCTTCTTGTTATTAGCATTTGCATTTCATTTTTAAGTTTAAGTGATTTATAAACATTCGCTCTCAACACTTATTAAAGGCTCATCTGAAAAAAACTTTAAATAAACTTAATATTAGAAATGCTTATTTAACGCTTATTATAGCAAACTTACTTTAAGTTATTTTTAAAAAGATTTATGAAATGCTTGTTGGGTATGTATTTAAAAAATAAAGTATGCACAAATGTTAAACAACTACTAATACAATTGGGGTTTTCATTACATTTCACACTGGCCGTAATTTAATTTTTTCGGCAAAATTCTGAAAAGAAAGTGATCGTTTCCAAAATCGGTGCATATACATACATATTATTCATGCTACTAGTAAGTTAGGGCTAACATTTTGGACTGAAAAATAAGGCGAAGTGTAATGTACATACATACATACATATGTATATAAATAAATATTAAAAAAATACATATAATAAAACAAGTAAGAAAGTCTAAGTTCGGACGGAGCCGAACATTAAATACCCGGCGCAAGTATATGTTTTCCACCTTTCCGAAAGCTACCGCTACATGATAAGCCGCGGTGTATAAATTTTAAGTAAATTAGCGTCCTTAAATTTCGAAACATTGAAATTTCAAGCATTTCTGAAATTTACCGATTTCAACAATCTTCAACGGTTTGCTTTTATGTGGCAAGCACAATAACCATACCGAGTTTGGTACAAATTGCTAGAACGGTTAGCGAGATACATATATGTGATCAGAAGTGGGCGGTGCCACGCCCATTTTCCAAAATTTTATCATAAGCGTATTTCTTGGTAAAGAATTGTTGCAACCATCAATTTCGAATAAATTAGCTTTAATATTTACTGATTTATCGAGGATTTCGTATTTCTCTAAATTACCGTTATATGTAAACATCGGCGTAGCCAGAATGAAATTTAGGGGGGAGCTCGACCCTATTAAGCTGGCATTTCAGGGTACTATTTTATATATATATATAAGGAAAATTTGAAAGTTAGGGGGGGGGCTCGAGCACCCCCCTGCCCCTACCTGGCTACGCCCATGATTGTAAATATCAATTAGTGAATAATTATCTTCAGTAGTTACTAAAAAATCGCAGTTTTCGTATTTCTGAAAATTACCGTTATATGGGAGGTAGGCGTGGTTATTGTCCGATTTCACCCATTTTCAAACCATCCGTCCCATGCCCAAAGGAAAAGCACGTACCAAGTTTCGTTCGTTTCGTGTGCACAGACGGACAGGCGGACGGACAGACGGTCACCGCTTAATCGATTTCTCTTTTCATTCTGATCATTTATGTATACATTTGTCTATATCTATCTCGATTCGTTTTGCCTGTTACAAACAACCGTTATGTAAACAAAGTTCTAATACCCTTGTGAACAAGTGCGCTCGGGTATAATGAATTAGAAAATAAGCTACCCTCTTCCTTTACTGAAGGTGAGTGCCCGCCTAGAGGAACTTTCACTGTATTCGTGTATTGGGCACAGGTCACTGACAGTTATAACTTTAAAGTAGTGACGGAATTTGTGCACCTAATAATATAATAATAATAGATTGGCGCTTACACAAATGTTAGTGTTTGGCCGAGCTTCTCCTCCGACTTGTGGGGTGCGCCTTGATGTTGTCACACAAAGCAGAGGGACCTACAGTTTTACGCCGACTCCGAACGGCGATTGTATTTTTATGAGAAGCTGTTTTTCATGGCAGAAATACACTCGGAGGTTTGCCATTGCCTGCCGAGGGACGACCGCTGTTAAGAAAAAACCTTTTTTCTATATTTTTTTGCGATGTTGCTTTGACCAGGGTTTGAACCCAGGCGCTGCGGAATGGAAGCGCGCACTGCCTACCACTGCACCACAGCGGCCGATTTGCGCACTTAGGGTCCAGCATAAACACCACCTTATGGATTTTGATGCGCTGAATGCTAATCTTAAGTCCGTTTTGCTTCATAACGCCAGGATTTTTTCCTAACCTCAAAAAGCGTGCTGGTTACATAATATCCACAACATTTTTTGACGGTAGTGCTGAACTCAGATCCGTTAGACCGATTCAGCGCATCTATCTTGTTCCCAGACCCTGACACTTTTTTGTTTGGCTGTGTAATATTTTCTGGCGGATATAGCATCTAATTCCATTTTTCAGCACGGGTAAAAAATACCACTTGTAGTAAATACAATATATGCAGCACAGAACGAACTAAAGTGTGTCAATTTATATTTAACTTGTTTTGCACAGTGTACAGCGCTTGACCAAAAGTAAAAAATAAAGTAAAGTGAACTTTGGTACATCAATGGATAAATAGAAATAGTTTGTAGTATTATACATACATACTATGCTTTTAAAAATTGAGAAGCACTTTTTCAAATCTGAAACGAAATTCTCAAAAAATTAAAATATTCACGGAAACAGCCCCCCTCAAAGTATTTTGAAGACCAAATTCAGTCAAATTCGGATCAAACTTAATAGATTCTAATAAAAGCCCTTGGGAAGTTAAGCAGCTAGTCGTACCGACATTCAGATGATGGAAAGATTTCAGATGCTCTTTACCAGGTTAATATCATTTTATCTAATTATCTACCGTTTAAAAATTGTCGCATATGTCCATTATAAATATGTATGTATTTTGGTCCACCAATAACGTACACGATTTTCATTTTTTCTATTGCAGTTTTTTATAATCATGTAATATTTAACATTGTCTTAACGTTTACTTCTTCACACTCTTTGTTTGGTCAGAAAACCTTTTTATAAAAGTTGATCTTAATTACATGCATAACCAATTACATTAAATAACAAATGGTAGTGAGATTTATGAATTGCGTACATATTGTACATACCAGTGATGGGCAAAATGTATTTGCTAAGTACTAAATACAAAAGTATTTAGGTAATTATGTTGCAGTAAATAATAAAGTACTGTTTACTTAAATATTTTGGATGTTCCTAAATAACGAGTATGATGGTATTTACTTATTTTCACAGCACCAAATACTAAGTATAAAAGTATGTGCTTTCAATACATGAGTACTTAAGTATGCCCATCACTGATACTTACTTATGTAACTATCACTAATGCATATGCAAATAAATAACTTTGATTTTAAATAAAATAGAAAATGTGTAGATACAAATACGAGGTTACTCGTTAATACATACGTACAATTCCAATAAATCTTATGTGAATACATATGTATCTACACAGCCAGCAGAGAAACGTTCTTTTTGCCGAAAGTGCAGTTTTCGTACATTTTTCGTTTCCGGAAATGTTCAGAAAACGATTTTCATATTTGTTCATTTTTCGTATCCGAGAAATGTCATCATCTCATTTCAAAACAATAATTTTAAAATATTTGTTCAAATTTGCCAGTAGCTGAGTGTGCAGAGAAGTGTGCTACTATTTCTTAGCTTTCAGGAGGTCCCAGGTTCGAATTCCGTCAGAAGCAACACATTAAAATTAGTTATTCAAATTGATATAATTGCTAAATCTTAAATTTGTTTTTTGTGTGGTTTCCTGTAACTATGAAAAAGTTTCTGTGAAGTTCATAATGAAATCGTTTTCAACGAAAAATTGTATCAGACAAATTTCAGGAAAACAGCCGAAAGCGCATCCGTTTTACAACCATTTTCGATAGTTTTCTGCACATACGATTCGAATGAACACTTTAGTGGGAGAATTGATCTGAAGAACGTCTGAAAACGGAATCCGAAAACGGATGAAACATCAGGTTTTTATACGAAATTGTTTCCATTTTCGGACACGTTTCCGGATATTTTGCTGGCTGGGTATGTATGTATAAAGTATGTTCCCAGCCAGCAAATTATCCGGAAACGTATCCAAAAATGGAAACAATTTCGTATTAAAACCTGATGTTTCATCCGTTTACCGATTCCGTTTTCGGACGCTTTTCAGATCAGTTCTCCCACTAAAGTGTTCATCCGAAACGTATGTGCAGAAAACTATCGAAAATGGTTGTAAAACGGATGCGCTTCCGGCTGTTTTCCTGAACTTTTTCTGAGTAAATTTTTCGTTGAAGACGATTTCATTATGAACTACACAGAAACTTTTTCATAGTTACAGGAAACCAAACAAAAACAAATTTAAGATTCTGCAATTATTTCAATTTGAATAAATAATTTTAATGTGTTGCTTCTGACGGAATTCGAACTGGCGAATACGTATACAAGTTTTCAAATGCTCAGTTTGAACAAATATTTTAAAATTATTGTTTTGAAATTTTTCGGATACGAAAAATGAACAAATATGGAAATCGTTTTCTGAACGTTTCCGGATACGAAAAAAGGTACGAAAACTGCACTGTCGGCAAAAAGTACGTTTCCCTGCTGGCTGGGTTTGTACAAAAACATTTACAAAACTGTACAGGATATTGGATTATCAAAACAACTTTAAACGAAGTTTATTCAAATGCAATCATATTTTGTGTACGTTCACTTTGTCTAAGGATTACACTCTGAATGATGTGCATAAAATAATATACAAATACTTAAAGATGTGCAAGTATTTCGATATGCTCTCCGTTGTGTGCGTTATCCGCATCCACTTGACTGTCGTTTTTGGATATCGTAACAACGGTAACTAATTCTTTCTGTGAATGTGCGTTTACTTCCGTCGTAGTATTTGCCCTGCTTTCTTCTTGTTTATTTGTGGTGCATGGTGGCGTTCCTCGGCAATGACTCGGCCGTGGATTTCGCACATGTTGAAAATCCTTCGCCAATGTTACGCTATTACTCCTAATTGGCCTTTCGGGCAGTGATCGTAATGTTGAGTCGGAGTGGCTATTGGGCAGTTGCTCCGAACTGGATGGTTCTGGGATATCTTCATTGCGCAGCAGATGGTCTGTTGGCGTGGTGCCCACGCTGCGTTCACTACATATCTTGGCTGGATTAGTGTTTCGTGACCTATAGCTCGGCGGGAGGCTGTACTCGGACGTCCCAGCTATGCTGCCAGCTGCACCATTTGCTCGTAGCGTTGTGGTTAATGGTGCTCTGAAAGAAGAATAAACAAACCCGTTAACTGAATTTAGTTGTGTAAAGGGTACACATTGAGCCTCATGCATAGAAACTGAACTTAAGCTTAGACAAATTTTTTGCACTGATGAAGTGAGCTCAATCTCCGAGTCGGAGCTTAAGCTAGCTTTTTATGCATGCGCCCCATTAGTTTTTTGCGTATGGGCCAGAATGCAAAATAAACGGCATTCTGAGTTGCCTTCTCTCCTGTTTTTAAACGAAAGAAGAATAATTTAATTGAATTAATGATTCAAAATATTGCTTTGTAGACAAAATTGATAGCAGCTTTATATTGGTTCTGTAAATCGACGTGGCGCCGCCATTGACAATTGTTGCCTATTTCTAATGTGTTGTATGGTGTAACAGAAATAGACATACATACATACTTGTTAAAGTTTTACCGCCCTACAAATACACACTCCATCTTGGAAAATTTCGTCCTAAATAGAAAATTCAGCGTAAGGCGAAATGACTTTAGAACAGAATATATATATGCAGCTGTTCCTCAAGGAAGTGTTTTAGGCTCAATTCTTTATGTAATTTATACAAGCGGCTTACCAATTACCAATTCTTTAACTTTATCGACCTTTGTTGATGACACGGGCTTTCTAAGCGCAAAAGGTTGAGCTCTGGTTTACTACTTGGCGAATTAAGGCTAACGAGAGCAAGTCCATTCAAACCAGATTAACGCTAAAAACAGAAACATGCCCATCTCTTAAGATTAACCGCAAACCTATCCCTATAAAAGATAGTGTCAAATATTTGGGTACGACGCGGGACAGAAGACTTGCTAGGAAAATTCACATAGAAAATGAGATTTCCCAAGCAAAACTAAAAGTAGGAAGCCATCATTGGATTATAAGATGCAAATCCAAATTGAGTTTGGATAACAAAACGTTGTTGTTTAATATGATGATTAAGCCATGCTGGACATATGGAATCGGAATCTGTGGCACGACTTAGAATTCCATTATAGAAAAAATACAAATACTTCAGTCAAAAATATTACGAAGTATATGTGGCGCTCTTTCGTATGTAAAGAATGCAAAAATACAAAAATATCTTACCGTTAACACAGTACACGAGAGTATAAGAAAATTGAGCAACAACAATAGACTAGCGAGATAACTTTTCAGCAGACGATATTTGAGAAGATTAAAAAGAAAGGACTTTGCCGACATTAGCAAATGACGCGCTATATACAATATTTTCTGTACTGATATTCCTTAAGATATCTCTCTACTTTAAATTTACACTTTATAAATATCCCTACAGATGATATGATATCCCTACTGATATCCTTTTTTATATTTCTAATACGATATGCTCTTCAAGTATATGAAATATCTCGTGATATTTTCTCCGAATTACTTATGTAATTAGAATTTAACAACACAAAATTCAATGCGATTGCAGAGAACATAACTTGAATATATTAGTTCCTTAAGATTTAATACCTTATTGTTATTTTCATTTTATAAAGGATACAATAAATATTTGGATATTAAAAAAACATACATGAATCGCATGGTGGAATTATACAAGGTCAACCATCTTGGCTCCCTTAATTATGTAAATCGATGTCTCCTTCAAAAAGGTACATACTTTTCCTAGGCATGAAATGATATGCAAGTCTTTTCTTCTAAGAGCAGCCGTTTGCGCAGTACTGGTTATCGTAACCAATCATAAGTGGCACTTTCCTGTCATGATATCGCCACCATGTCAAACTATCGAATGTGAAAATGGGTACTTTTCAGGAGAGCGAAAAACTGTTGTAAAAATTTCTGTTGTCATTAGGAAAAAGGGTGGGATTCGACACTTTTTATCAAAGCCAGTATCCTCTTCTAAGAAGACTCGAAATTTGACGATTTGATTTGCGTTTCATTCTAAACGCATACGCAAGGTATCGTATTGAAAAAGCATTTTTTCACATGTCACATTTGACATGGTAGCAACGATATCTCAGGATCCTTCGATATTCATGCATTGGCCAAGTAAGAAGTCCACACGAATGATGACGTTATCCACTATAAACACTTGGGTTCGTCTCTTTCAGCCCTGCGTTTATCTCCTTCTGAACTGCTTAACCTGTTGGAACCCATCTAACAGTCGCGTGAAAAATGGCTTAGCTTTTCGCAGCTTAAGAATTTTCCAGCATTCAGTTTCTCGATTGCACCAGGACTATTCTTGCCTGCGATTGACTTAAGCGTTTTTATTATCTCATTCATTACGTCTGGTGTTTCCACTTGCTCTCTGTTGATCGTTTCGTGTGCACGTTCGGTTTGAATCTTTGGCTTTTACCTTTCGAGGTGCTCACCAGATTTGTCTCAAACTAGCAGGCTTTTTGGTAGCGATTTGTCACCTCCATTTGGTGAATCTTTCTCCTGTGCTCGCTACCATAAGGTCTTTCCACGGCGCCCATCAACACATCGTACCCAGCGGCGCAAATGCACATTACGTAATCGAATACTCCTTCAAAACTTCGAAGGCGGTATATCGGACTGAATGGATTACAACCCAGATTACTTTGCCATAGGCATGACCGCTTTGTGGTTAGCGTCCTTTACATACTGGTTTTGTTTGTAATCGGAAAGTATGATGTGACCGAAAACTCTTCGGGTGTTCATTACAATACGTCTTCGTTTGTAAATTGTAATGTGCATTGTAAGTATGTAGACTGCCTGCAATTAGCATTACAATTTTAAATTGGGTCAGCAGTGTTTTAATCATTTATTGTATGAATTACGTAATGCATATTGTGGACGGCCCCATTTAGCAGTGCGCTGCTGGGGTAGTTGTCTCTTTCATACTCTGCCAGATTTCCGCTGCAGGCCCTATTAATGCAACAAACAGCGCAGCGGACTTGTCCCCCATGCACTAATGGTTTGCTGTGCCGTTTTCTCAAACTGGAGCTTAAAGATCTGGAAAGGAAATGTTCCGTCAAATGATGATGTTTTTACCTTGGGAGCGGTCGTCGCAGTGACTGGACGATTAAATTTACGGAGACGACCTTCTAGTTCACCCACTTTTACTTGTCTTTTCCCCGATCTTATCCTCCTTGCGGTGATGAACCAGGAGCTTTTCCATTTTTTCAACATACGCGAGTGTTTCCTGTGCACCTTTAGATCAGTGATGGGCAGATTTTTGGCTCTTAAAGCAGTCAAAGAGCCAGCAAGTTCTTTGCAAGAAGTAAACCAGTTCGCAGGGTATAGCGGGTGTAAAAAACACATTAATGATGCTTATATATTAGTTATGAGAGCCGGAGTACAAGAAATTTTATGACGCTCTTATTTCCCTTAATGCAGACTTTTGACGTCACCCCTCAACTAGCACCTAAATGTGTCAAGCCGGCTCCTAAGAGCAAAAGGCTCCTCTTCTTTTTCGTTATCCTTCGTGGCTTTCTCCTCGGATACACGATGGAAGTCGTACTTATCCACGTCAATGCCTTCCTTTTCCATTACCTCTCGCAACCGTGATAATATTTCTACTTTTCCTCCGGACGTGGCCAAATTTCGCTTTCAGTCTCTGGTTTGAGTTCTTCAATTTTTAGCTCTTGAAGCCTTGCCATTGTGAACATTCTCTTATAGGATTTATTGATGAATCCCACTTTTTACACCAATTGTTACGATTAACCTTGAATATTCGACGAATTTCCTAAATCCTTCAGTTCCGTTACAGTTACCGAACATTGCCGTCCTCTACTGGAAGCATCTGTCATTATTACGAATGTTAATCCCGGAATCCCGGCCTTTTTTAAGTCCCAAAAATCCCGGGATTCTTTGCAAATAATCCCGGGATTTTCAGGATTTGTAATTTGCCCTGGAATGGAAACTCCTTTTCTTGATCAGTATTGGCTATATTTATTATTTTTTAATAATTAGTATTTTTTCATAAATATCTAGCTCATTATATATACAACATCATGCGATAGTAAATTTTACCCATAAAAATCAATATATTCGTGAAACCAAATATATTAAAATAGCCAAATATTGTAAAATAGCGTTTTTAGTTTTTCACTCTGACGTAAGTAATTCCAAAACGATTTAAAAAATTCAGTGAAATGTGCTTAGAGAAATTCTGTAGAATTTAATCAGATTACATTTTTTGTGCATATCGACTGGCAAGTATTGAAAATATCCTTTTAAAATTTTTTCCAAGAAATTTCGCAATATTTGTTTTTGAAAAACTTATATCTTAAGGACTTATATAAACTCGATAACATTCTCGAGTTTCGTCCTTCTAACTTTATCAGCTTAAAAAATTACTTATTCGTCCTTGTGATTCGAAAGATTTTACTTTTGTCAAATTCTAAAGGAATTTCCTTCCTTCTTTCCTTCGTTTTATTTGATGCCCATATTTTTATTCTACAATGCATTGAATTTTTTAAATAATTTTTGGAATTAATTGAAATTACAAAGTCCTTTAAATAAATCCTGACGTCAGAAAGAAAAAATAAAAACGCCACTTTTAATAAAAATGTAGGTTTCAAACCTATTTATTTATTATTTATTTTATGGTAGCATGAGTCAGTTGGGGTCGTTAGATCGAATCGCACTGAAAGTGGTCTGATTAGAAATGTGGTGATTTCCGAAATAGCTATCACTTCTACCATTTTTATACCCGAGCGCACTTGTGCACAAATCGATTCGAGATAGATATAGACAAATGTATACATAAATGCTCAGAATGAATAGAGAAATCGATTAAGCCATGTCTGTCTGTCCGTCCGTCTGTCCGTCCGTCCGTGTACACGAGCAAAAATTTAGATATCTCAACGAAATTTGGTGTGCAGGTTTCCGATAATCCAAGGTAGGTTGGTATTGAAAATGGGCGAAATCGGACTGTAACCACGCCCACTTCCCATATAACGGTAATTTCCAGAAATACGAAAACTGCGATATTTTAGTAACTACTGAAGATAATTCACTCAAAATTGATATTTACAATAATTTTCAGACGAAAAATAAGAATATTAT